GTGTATGGAGTTATGAAAAACAGTGTATTACCACCTGACATCACAAGGTGGGACAGAGTGTTTTCTGTTTGAAGGAAGAACTTAAACATGTGAATGAAACAAAACACATCTCCAGGTCTGTTTGTGATGAGGAAACAATATTATAACATACTGTAGGTCAAAAAATAGTGTAATATGGGCCCTTTACTGTTTCCATCGCCCTCAGTAATGCTGAATGTAAAATCTGTACCAGCTCTTTTCACTTTTGTTAGAGAAATTAAGCTCTTGATCCAACAAACCACTTGCTCTCTATTCTTATGGTGTCAGCTCTTTCCATTTTACTTGGAAAAAAAAAAACGCTCCATCTTACCCTCTCCTCTGCAACCTGTGCTACAGCCAACTGACTTCGTGCCCTTTTTTGCCTTTTTGCTGTATCGTTGCTGTTTCGTTTTATTTCCATTTTGTATCTCAGAATATTGTACACTTTGTCTTACTTTTTAAAGGTCCTGTATTACATGAAATTGACACTTGTGAGCTTTAAGCCAGGTTATAATGTTGTCACCTCCTCAAAAACAGACCTGGAGTTGTTTCATTCACACATGTTTGAGTAACTCTCTAAGGCTATGTTTATATGATGACGATCTGAACAGATGCAAAAGTGGCAGCGCGTCTTCACTTTTTATTTCGCGTTTAGACGAGCGTTTTCGGGAGGAAATCTGCGTACATATGGTGACGCAAAAGTGTCTGGAATTTGAGTGGATAGGCATGCCAGGCGGTGAGGTGGTGACGCTAGGTGGTGATGTATGTGATGTAAACGTGTACACGACGTGAGCAGATCTGACCAGAGTTTTGCGTTTTGGGCAGTGTAGACTGAAACGCTACAGCGAAGCGTATTCAACTTTTTCACTCTGGAGGGTGGTTTCAGATTTTTGCATTTTTAAGCCTCAAAAACACCGTCAACGTCTAAAGAAAAGGCACTTGCGAATAATATTTTGCCATTTTTATATGTAAGTGTTCTTCTGTAAACAGGCCCTAAACTCTGTTCCACCTTGTGATGTCTTGTAGCGGTATTTTAAGTTAACATCTCCTTTTACCTTTAGTTTAGTAGAGATCAGCCATTCCAGGGTGAAAATGATCCAGATGATTCTAGTGAAGGTGTGTGGAGTTTAAAAACATAGTGGAGCACATGACATCACAAGGTGGAGTAGAGCGTTTTGTGTTTTGAGAGAAGAACTCAGCCTAAATATGCAGGGTTGGTGTGTTAAACATGTGAATGAAACAAAACACAACGCCGTGTGTGTTTGTGGTGAAGAAACAACATTATAATATAGATTAAAAATAGTCCAATATAGACCCTTTAAACACAAACTGATCTAATTATAATTTTAATTCTGTTATCCATGTGTGTTTGGAGCAATAGTAGTGTTTGTGTAAATAAAGCCTCCTGCTGTCAGTCACCATCTGCTCCTCAGTGGCAGGAAATACACAAGCACCCCGCCAAAATAAAACAATGAGTCATATATAGAGCGTCAAAATAAAGGACATCAAGCTAAAACACGACCAAAATGAAACTTCACTGAAAACCTGCTGTTACTCACCATCTGGTCTCCGAGCATTGAAAATTCACACCAAGTCCCGGCCAAATTAAAACACTTACTCATACAGACCGCCAAAATAAAACAGTCTCTCTGCCAATAGACTGTGTAGCAAACAGAAACATGAAAGACTCTAAACAAGAAATATCTAAACAACTCCTGCTAGTCACGCACCGACAAATTAAAATAACGCATTTGACTTTAAAGGTCCTATATTACGAAAAACCTTTTAATGTGAATTTGAATTTGAGATGCAGCGTCTCGTTTCCAACATACAACATACAGTTTACAAACAAATAGTTCCACAACAACACAATAATTTGAGCTTTACGCCATTATATATAATATTATTACCTCATTAAAAACATACCTGAAGTTGTGTTTTGTTTCATTCACACATGTAATGCTGCATTATTAGACTGTCTGTAACTTCAAAACTCAAAATGTTCCAATTCACCTGTCATTTAGTGTTATTTGTCATTTATTGTAGTTTTAAAGGTCCCTTATTGCGCTGTTTTGTGATCTATGTTGTAATGTTTCCTCATCACAAACCTGGAGTTGTGTTTTGTTTCATTTACACATGTTTAACTCACAAATCCTGCATATTTAGGCTGAGTTCTTCTCTCAAACTGAAAACTGTCTGATCCAGCTTGTGATGTCATGTGAAAATACATGCTCCACTGTGTTTTTAAACTGAATTGCCCATCTCTACTGAACTAAAGGAAAAACGAGCTGCTAACTTAAAAACTATTCATGGCATCACAAGTTGGAACAGAGCATTTTGAACATTGAAGATGTAGATGTAGTAATAAAAGACTAAAAATTACTCAAACAACTCCAGGTCTGTTTTTGATGAGGTAACAACATTATAACATGACCTAAAGCTCACAAGAGTCCAGTTTGTCTAATATAGGACCTTAAAGGTTAACAGCTATTTTTAGCCTCAGTTAAGCCTCTTTACTCTTTTAGTAGCCTGTAATAGAACATCTTTAATTGTTGCTTTTCATTTGGAATATCTTTATTTAACATTTTGTACAGCTGAGAGCATCAATAGAAAGTCTCTAATATCTGATGATCCACCGTGAAGCCATTTCAAGTGAGGCTAAAACAGTAGCTTCAGCTTCAAAAGTAGGCAAATCCAGGCTAAAATGATTCTTGTAAAGATGTATGGAGTTTTAGTATTTAGTATTACCACTTAATGACTTCATAAGGAGGAACAGAGTGTTTTAAATTTGAGAAAAGAACTGTAAGAGCCTAAATATGCAGGATTTTTGTGTTAAACATGTGTGAGTTAAACAAAACACAACTCCAGGTGTGTTTGTGATGAGAAAACAACTTTAAAGCATAACTCAAAAATAGTGCAATATAGGCCCTTTAAATCAGTGACTCACACCCCTTCATAATAAAAGACAATTCATATGCAATCTCTAAATGTGCTGTCACCATCTGGCCCTCTTTTTCAGAAATGACAGAACACACAAACCTCGCCAAATTAAAATGCATGACGCTCGTAGCTAAATGAAAACGTAAACTCTTTTCAAAATAAGAGGCTCCACACGTGTCAAATGAAGTACGCACTCGCCAAAATAAAAGCCACGTCACACACGACTCTCAGTGCAAATAAAGAACAGGAAATGTCTTCTCCTGTGGATAATTATGCAGTTGCCGTGGAGACACAGAGGGGGTTGATGATGATGTTTTTGATAAAGAGCCGGAAAATTGCTGACGGCTTGGGAATAAAATGATCCGTGAATATTACAGCCATTACTGTGATTAAACTGCAGTTATATGAACACGTACTTCACTCCAACTCCTGGGCACATTCGATTAACACCGTTTCACCATTCATATAAAAAAGTACATTTATAGAGTTAAATCTATAGTTATGTTATTGTCATGACTATGTATTTTGTTAATATTTAACTATAACCTGTACAAGAATAACCAAATTAAGTGTATTGGTAGATGCAACGATCCAGTCTTTTCAGTTTTGATACTAATTTCGATACGATTGCTTTAAGTATCTGCCCCGATATCTGCCCGATATCAACCGATGGCCATGCAGAGGCTGAAAATAGTATCTACTTGCTTGAAACAAAACAAGAAATAAGACTAAATTGTTCCAAATGTGTCCAAATCCACAAATTCAATGGCCGTTCTCTACTGAACTAAATTGTAAAAGTTAACTGGAAAACTACCACTACATGTCATGACAAATAATAGGCCTATAGCACCATTTTATAGATCAAACAAGAATATCGCCTGGACTGATATTTCGAAGCTGATATCTGATCCAGCAAATTCTTCAGTATCAGCGCTGTTACATGATACCAGTGTTGGATTGGTTGTTGCAGTACAGGGGTGAAGAGGAGTGAAGAAAGAATACATTAGAATAGTATTTGAAAAGAATAACATAAATCATATTTCTGTTATTGTGCTTGGCTTTATCTTGTAGTTGTATTTTTAAGAAGAAATAAGCATAGGCGGAGGGGGTTACTGCCCCCCCAGTGACACTGAGTCTATAATATGGCCAATATAAATATTTACTTAAAAAAAATGTATTAATAATATATTTTAATATGTCAGTAAAACAAAAGGATTGTATGAAATAAATATGAATCGTAGTTTGAACCAAACTAAACCAGGAATGAACTACGACTAAACCAGAACTAAACCAGAACTAAACCAGGACTGAACCAGGACTAAACCAGGACTAATCTTGGACTTGAGGAAGAGAGAGAACCCCGAGCCTGTGGAGCAGGGTGTCTGCAAAGTGCGATCAGGCATGGAGATCTACGCCAGTCTTCTCCCGTGATCATCCGATGGTCTTTGCGGGCACACCTCCGGGCCCGTCCTGACGCTCAGTCTTGGTTCAGTTCTGGTTTAGTCCTGGTTCAGTCCTTGTCCCTCATGTCGCAGGTCACTATAGGACAGTACAGCAGATATCATGAGCCTATGCAGGTTGTTTTCAGCATTGCCAATAGCTACGGTGTGACATTTAAGTTGTAGGATTTTTCATATTTGTTATTTTTGTATACCTCAAGTCGGGAGAAGTGGGCGGACAGCGTACGCCCATGTACCACGCCCACTACTCCCTTGATCATGTGTGATGCGCTGTGTAGCTTGGCTTTATGGGATGATGCTATTTCCAATACAACAGTACTGTTGTATTGGAAATAGCATCATAATTATTATGTATAATGACAGAGAATAGTTATAATGCACAGTGGTGTGGGCAATAAAGTGATAATTTCATTGTACAGGGCAAGGCGTTTCCTTTCTGTGCGAATGGCAATGCGCACTCTAAATCTTGAATCTAGTGCCCTGATGTAAAAATGTTTGCCCCCCCAGCACAAAAGTCAAACTCCACTTATGGAAATAAGTCAATTACATGAGTTAACCTTTTTTTCTCTGTCTTTTTTCTAGCTGGAGCGTCATGTCTAAAGCCACCGTGAAGAAGCTGCACTGGCGCTCCAAGGTGAGAGCATGGGCTCAGTCGCCCCCATAGACTGAATAAAGTACTAAGGGAGTTTGGCGTTTGGCTCCAGTCAAATGAAGCTCAGGAGGCTAGCAGTTATAGGAGGGAATTTGGAGTTACGTATGAGGAATAAGAATCTATTTACAGATGAAATAGTTTACTAAAAACACCAGTAGAGTGAGATAATATGAACATTTTAAGACCAAAATGATGAGGCAACAGAGGGGTGACAATGTTTCAATGTAAAGTCAATTGGAGCCAGAGTCGATGGAACCGGAAAGCAACCCCCAAGGTCACTTCCTAAGTTCTTTTATATACACTGTCACTGTCTCACAGCAAGAAGGTACCTGGTTCAGTTGCATCTTTTTTTGGCTCTTCTCTCTAGTCTAAACCTAAAGCACACATAATATCCTCCAGCTCTGTGACTGGGATCGAGAATGGTTCGACTGGTTCTCTAATGAGGACTCAGATCTGGTCCACTGCTCCTTATTGGTCAAATCCGAGAGGAAATGAAGGATGCAAAGGTCAATTGCAGAGGAAGTGTATGGCCACAAGGATAATAAAAACACTCTCACTTAAAAATAATTCACTTAAAGGTCCTGTATTACACAAAATTGACTCTTTTGAGCTTTTATCCATGTTATAATACTGTTACCTCCACAAAAACATTCCCAGAGTTGTGTTTTGTTTCGTTCACACATTTTTGAGTAATCCCTTTTTTAGTCTGTCTACATCTCCAAAGCTCAGAACAGCTTTTTTGACCTTTTATTCAGTAGAAATTGAGTATTCTAGAGCTGAAATGATCCAAATTATTGTGGTGAATTGTATGGAGTTTAAAAACACAGTGGAGCAATTCCTGTTTTACCACATGACATCACAAGTGTTTTCCATTTGAGAGATAAATTCAGCCTAAATTTGCAGGGTTTGTATGTGAATGAAACAAAACACAACTCCAGGTCTGTTTGTGATGAGGAAACATTGCAGCATAGATCAGAAAATAGTGTAATAATAACTTTTTGAAAAACATATTGATTAAAAAATGATTTGTCCTTATATTTTACTCAGGTCCAGGAGAGCTTCGTGCCTCTCGGAGCCAATGGGGAGCTGGGGCTGGCTGTGGGGGGCGGAGCCGACTATGGAGAGTTCCCATTCGTCACTGCAGCTCCAGGGGGCGCGGCTACGGTGGGCGACATCATCCTTGAGATTGGAGGCACGCCCATTTTAGGAATGACCCTGGGCGATGTCAGAGGGGTCCTGAACACCTGCCCTCAGCCAATCAGGATCAAGACTGTGTCGCCAGGTAACGGGCACTTAAAGGCGCACTGTGGGACTTTTCTGCTGGGGGGTTCGCAACCTGATTTTCTCCATGGAAATATTATTGCTTTGCTTTGAAAGTTACACACTATAGCATTAAACGTGTCTATATCCATGGAGACAAGCAAATACAGGTTAGATCTGTGGAGAGGCAGCACCGTCCACAGTAAAAATACATGTTTTTCAATGTATTTTTAAGCATACACAAGATACACATAAATCTAAGATACAAAGGTCTAGTCCAGGGGTCGGCAACCCAAAATGTTCAAAGAGCCATATTGGCCCAAAATAACTAAAACCATACCTGCCTGGAGCCGTAAAAAATTAAAAGTCTTATATAATATGAAGGCAACATAGGCTGTCAGTATATTAGCTATATAAGCCTACTATTAAAATGACTAAGTAGGCTACAAATACAAAATGAGCATTCATGATGACACAAACCCCTTTTGCGACCCTCTCATACTCAGTGCGCCGGCTGTAGCCACTGAAATCAGGTGGTTAGTGTTTATTCCTTTGTCATTTAGGCCCTGTTTACACGTACACGGGTATTTTTAAAAACGGAGACATTTCCCTTCCTTTGTTCACATCGTTTACACGCAAACACCTCTGAAAACGAATCTTTCTAAAAAAAAATCCAGCTAGAGTGGAGATTTTGGAAAACTCTGATTTCACGTTTGCGTGTAAACTGAGATAAACTGAGTTTTAGGAGCTGACGCGCTGAAAGTGCGACCGACGTTTACCTGTTGCTTTGACGACGAGCAGAAGCTCTGAGCTCGGGCAGCAGCGCCAAACACACGGGAGCACTCAGCGCGCAGCTCCTCACGACGGGGCTGGGGGTCCAGTGTTGGTCAGATTGTCCGGAGGCTTCGTCCTCCATGTCCTGGTTCCAGACAGGGGCGAGTAAGACCAGCACGCAAAGTACTGGGTCCGAGTGCTTCAGTGCAGTCGTCTGCGCGCTGGTTCCGTGCGGGAAAAGCGAGAATGCGCTGTGGACCACAGGTCCGGGCTGCTCCGGTCCTCCGCGTTCGACCACGGCTGGTTCCGAGGGGGTGCAAAGCATCAAGCACAGAAGCGTGAATCTTGTTTGGTTCGTTATATGTTGTTCTGAGCGGTCCGTCTGCGCACGTGTTTTTTTGTTGTTTTTTTTTTCGGGGAAAGCGCTTCTCAGGTGGAGGCACCGGACACCACCCCCGCTTCAGCTCATCTATTTGTTCTGCTGAAACACTTTTCATGTGTTTCACAGCTGATGGATCAGATCCATGACCAGAGATGAACAAGGGTTTTACCCCTAAAGAAACCATAAAACAACAACCAAAAAAATCATTCCTTTTCCATTTTCACTCATTTTTGAAAAAGATCCAGAGAGCCACTAGGGGAGTGCTAAAGAGCCGCATGCGGCTCCGGAGCCGCGGGTTGCCGACCCCTGGTCTAGTCTAATGCCATACTGTGGAACATTAAAGGCAAAGCAATAGCATCGACATGAATACAAGGAGATCGTGGACCCTCTATCAGAAAAGTTACACAGTGCACTTTAAACCTGACTAAATTTGGACATAATCAAGACATGGTCTAAACCAGAACCAGACCAAAACAAAATAAAGTATCAACCAGAACCCAACCAGGACTGACAAAGGACAAAATCTCCCGCAACCCCTTGTTTTGTAGTTTGTGTGTATTTTTCTGTAGTCTTTTATATGTGTGTTGTTTTAGGTTCGTCTCTGTGTAAAGACTTGAGGCTGTATCTGAGTAAATGCTTCACTCCAGGATCCATGGACAGCCAGCTCCAGCAAGTCATACGAGAAAACTTATATCTACGGGCCGTGCCATGTAAGAGTACTACAAAATATCAACAAGATGCTACCAGAACACAGCATACTGTCTAAAGGGTTGTGCTATAGAAGTCCAACAGTATAATAACATACTAGTGCAATTTATGTTGGAAGTTTGTGCACGTGCAAACCAAAAAAGTAGGCATGTCATAATAACAACTTTTGAAGCCTGATATATTGGTACAGAGATATATTTCAATAAATTATAATATTAAAACCACTAATTAGCCATAGAAGTTACTTATTCAACCTTTTACAGCTCAAACGTTATTGTATTACAACAAAAATACCCCAAATCTCCAAAAGATATAGTTCCAGCTTTCATATATCAAATGATAAGTTAATATAGTAATTATCGTAACAACCTTAGCTCTGTCCTATGGTTTCAGGTAGAACACCGTTCATAGAAAGCCTGTTTTTCTAGGTATTTTTGAGCTATAAAATCATCTGTAATTGTATAAATGTAAAGCAGAGCTGTTTAATGTCATACTGTGGAACGTTCCAGACAGAACAGTGACATATCTATAGAAACAAGCAAGAGACAAACCCCCAACCAAAAAGTTACATGGTCAAGGTTCCTACAACCATGGAAATCCTGGAAAAGTCATGGAAATTGAAATTGATATTTTCAGGCCTGTAAAAGTCATGGAATTTTATCAATTCAAGGAAAGTTTTGAAAAAATCATGGAATTTTAGTATATCTTTTACACAATTACAGTATTCTGTTAAGTTTTCATTAGGCTATAATGATTATTTTAGAATGTATGCACCTTTTGTTTAAAAGAGACGACAATAAATGCACTGACAGTATTTTGAATGTTAAAAAACTATAATATCAAACCATAATGTGAGTGGAAAGAATTAAGAGTTAACATTTAACCCTAAATGTCTGATCAATTCTACACATGTAGGTGCTGTAAAGTCATGGAAAGTTCACTTTAGGTCATGAAAAAGTCATGGAAAAGTTTTGAAATTCTGTCAGTGAAAAAGAGTGGGAACCCTGTATAGTGCTTCTTTAACATTTGTGAACTGACTTTTTATTCAAAACACCTTTCTCAACAGTTTTTTGTTAAACGTCCTAAGCAAAATTATTCTTGTGAGCTTTAAGTCATGTTATAATGCTGCTACCTCATCAAAGACACACCTGAAGTTTTGTTTGTTTCATTTACATGTTTCAGAAACCCTTTATTATTATTCTGTTTACATCTCCAAAGCTCAAAATGCTCTGTTCCACCTTGTGATGTCATATAGTGGTAGTTTTCAAGTTAACAGCTCTTTTTACCTTTTGCTCAGTAGAGACTGCACTTCACCTTTTCATAAATTCCTTTGAGCATCCCCCTTTCTGCACGTGTGTTTAAATTCCTAGTTCAAATCTCTTATTGGGACCTTTGTACATAATACTTAGTCTATTGCTCCTTTGAAATCCCTCTGAGCTTTGAAACGCTTTCTTCATCCACTCTCCTCATAAATCACACTGTTCTCACTATTCAAATGTTATTATCTGACCCACTCCGCTCTCCTCTGTTCTCTTGTTTATTCTGTTCTCTTGAATGTGTTCGGTGAAGTTTCTGTTTACAAATCCTGTAATCATTCACTTTTTTCTAACACTTACTTCACACAGTGTAGAGGTGTGGGAATAGAGAGGAATGCAGCAATTAAAAACAGTTTGAATATTTTAACAAACACTTAATCTGTTTTTTTTTTTTCTCCCAGGTACGACGCGACAACCCCGAGATGGAGAGATCTCTGGAGTGGACTATAACTTTGTGTCCATAGAGGAGTTTTTTTCACTGGAGGAATCTGGGGCTTTGCTGGAGAGTGGAAAATTTAAAGGTGATGTATTAATTATATCGTATCCATGGGTTTTAGAGGGATTAGGACCATTGCCATAGAGATGAACAACTTAAAATAAACTGATGAAATGATATTTTTGGAATTGTAAAAAGTCCTCAAAATGACGCCAATATACAGGGAACTGGAACTCAAGAATAGAAGGATGCAGTGTGGCATGTCTCCAAACTTTCTGTAAGGAGGTAGTGAGTTTGTGTGTATTTAGATATTAGCAGTTGTGGAACGTAACAAAGTAAAAGTAGTAAAATACTGCACTTAAACATACATTTTAGGCATCTGTACATACTTAAGTGCATTTTTAGTGGATACTTTTTACTTTTAATTCACTACATCTGAGAGCAGGTATCCGTACTTTCTACTCCACTACATTTTTGAACAGGATTGAAAAGTAAGAGTATTTTAATTATTGTGTGAGGCCTGCTGAAAAGGCTGAGGTTTATTTTTTTTTAACACATTCGTGGTTTGAGCAAACAAAAATATAGAAAAAAATCAATTCAGTTGTTCCTGTTCAACAAAATTCAGCACAAATCTGTATCAAAATCACTACATTTGAAGCTTTATTAGACCACAAAATCTTAATTTTTACTCTTTAAGCAAATTTTTAAACAGGTACTTTAATGTCAGGGGTGTCAAACTCAAATTCACAGAGGGACAAAATTAAAAACTGGGACTAAGTCATGGGCGAAACTAAATATTTATTGAAATTTGAGATATTTAGATCTGTAATGTTAAACCTTTTCTTATTAAAATAAATGTTTAATAATAGTTTTGCTGAAACATTGAATCCAGGACACACATAATATAAAATAACAACAAAATTTTAAATTAATAATGTCTCTATAGCCTATCTGTAGCCGGCAGGCCAGCTCTAATACATATTTGATATGATCTTGCGGGCCTGAGTCTGACATGTCTGTTTAATACTTTTACTAACTTTTACTTTTTTTTAAGTATATTGAGTACTTCTTCCACCATTGGATATTAGTAGCCTCAGACAGGGGTGTAAAATTATTATAGACATGCGAGTAATATTCATATTGCTCGTAGCAGTTACAGAGCAGAATATCATTTTAACATTATCTTTCCAGATTCAGTAAAAATAGTAGTTGCACAAAGTAAAAGGTTGCATAGGAGGTAGTATTTGTTAAAGGACACATATAAGGCAGGTCTGTGCTGAGGTTGGTGGTGTCAGTTTTAAGGCTGTTTTGGAGCAGAGGATTTGGAGAATAATCTGAACTCTGAGTGTATAATCTGAATGGGATTAATGTGACAGAAATAGAACACATTCATATACTTCCACATGCAGGAGACTTCTGTGAGAGTGAGTGGGGGACTTCATTTTTTTACATCCCAAGGTTTTTTTTTTCACTTTTTGTTTCAGTTTAGTAAAATATAACTAAAACTACTTCAACAACTACTTCTACTATTACTGTTTTGTGCATTGTTGTAGTGTCCTTGAGCATAACCCTTCAGTATTCTTACCTTTTGTACCTATTTGCATGATGTATGGCCAGTACAGTGAGTGTGGTGGAAATTTATATTGTGGAAAGATTTCTCTCAGTCTGTCTTTGTGTTAATGAATGTGACCAGACCCCCACAGGAAAATATTGATTATGACTGATTAAATTAAAATTGTAATTAGTTTATCTTTTAGAAACTTGGTCTTGTAACTAAAACTCATTTGTATGAAAATATGGATTAATAGTTTATTAAAGGGCACATATTACATTGTTTTGTGATGTATTTTATTACGTTTCATCATCAAAAACATACCTGGAGGCTGAGTTCTTCTCTTAAACTGAAAAAACTCTGTTCCCCCTTGTGATGTCACGTGGTAATACATGAAATGCTCCACTCTGTTTTCAAATTCTGGACTCTTTCACTAGAATCATTTGGATGATTTCAGTCTTGGAATTGCCCATCTCTACTAAACTAAAGGTACAAGGCACTATTAACTTGAAAACTATTACTTCATGACATCACAAGGTGGAACAAAGCATTTTGAGCTTTGGAGATGTAGACAGACTAATAAAGCAGGGTTACAAACATGTACGAATGAAACAAAAGATAACTCCAGGTGTGCTTTTGATGAGGTAACAACATTATAACATGGTTTAAAGCTCACGAGAACAGATTGTGCATAATATAGGATCTTTAATGTACAGGACATTTAGTTTTGTGGTGGAAGAAGGACATTTAGTTTTGTGGTGGAAGAAGAAGAACTGGAGATAAACAGGAGGTCTAGAGGAGATGTGTGGAGATGTAGTTTGTGTGAGAGAAGTGGACACAGAGGAGTGGGTTAGACTAGACTAGAGCGTACATCACATTTGGAGATGCTGCGGATTATAGGTTTTAATGCTCATGCGATACAGATGTACTAAACATGACCTGGACTCAAAACAGGCATCTGCTAACCCAGGGCAAAAACTGAAAGTAGAAAAACAGAAAAACGCACACAAAAACTTAGCACAGATCTGTTGTTGTAAGGTAAAGGTCGTATATTACACAAAATGTATTCTTGTAAGCTTTAAGTCATGTATGAAGGAGTTGTTGGAGTTTTGTTTCATTCACACAGGTTTGAGTAACACTTTATTATTAGTCTGTCTACATCTCCAAAGCTCAAAATGCTCTGATCCACCTTGTGATCTCATGAAGCTGTAGTTTTCAAGTTAACAGCTCCTTTTACCTTTTGTTCATTAGACATCGGAAGTTTCAGAGTCGGAATCAGTAGAGCACTGTCTGTATTAACACATGACATCATAAGGTGGAACAGTGTGTTTTTCAATTTGAGAGAAGAATTCATCTTAAATATGCAGGATTTGTGTATTAAACATGTGTGACTGAAACAAAACAGAACTCCAGGTCTGTTTTTGATAAAGAAACAACATAACATAACATAGATCATTGCGTAATACAGGCCATTTAATATTGGCCTGACCAGCTGTTTACTTTTTGAATGAACTTGAATGTTACTCACAGTACATATCACTTGAGTTTTTATATTCTATTGTAGTTTACGATAAGATAAGACAAACTTTATTTTCCCACCAAGAGAAATTAGTTCTGGCTGAGTTACAGGTCAGATTTTACAGTAAGAATACGTGTTTTTCAAGGTAACTGTGACCGATAAAAAGATGTGTAACTGAATAAATGTAAAATAGAAAAGTTTAATCCTATACTGAGGAAAGCAAAACAATAACATCTCCATGGAGACAAGAAGGTATCGGACCCACCACCCGTAAAGTACATAGTGAGTCTTTAATTTAATTCATTTTAACTTGCCTAGATATTACTTTTAGCAGTGTAGCTATATCAGATTATGTTGATCTGAAGGGGCTATACTGTCTTTTTTTTTCTCCCCAGGGAACTACTATGGTACTCCGAGACCAGTCCACATTGGCCCAGAGAGTCCCCCCATCACGTACCAGGAACACAGGAACCTTCTGCGCAACTTCAGAACCAGGAGCAAGTCCCTGTCCAACTTGGAGAAGGCCGGAGAGGAGGACAACAGTGAAGAGGACACCAACAACTCAGGTACCAACTACATTTTAAATTATTTTATTACTAATGAAGGCTTGTTTCCACTGTTTTGTGTACAATATAGTGTGACAATGGCAAATATGTTATGTATGCTGATCAAAAATGGGGGAGAATTAAACCATTTCAAGATTACATTTATTATTTATCTGTATGGTCAGGGCAATGTGAATTCTCAACTTTTATTGCTAAAAAAATGAACTCTTGTGATCTTTAAGTCATGTTGTTATCTCATAATAAATATACCCAAAGTTGTGTTTTGTTTCATTCACACATGTTTGAGTAATCCTTTATTATTAGTCTGTAAACATCTCCAAAGATCACAATGCTCTCTTCCACCTTGTGATGTCATGTAGAGGAAGTTTTCAAGTCCAGCTCCTTTTACCTTTTCTTCAGTAGACATTGGAAGTTCCAGGGTTGAAATGATCCAAATGATTCTATTAAAGGTGTATGGAGTTTAAAAACACAGTGGAGCACTTCTGGTATGAACACATGATGTCACAAGGTGGCCTAAATATGCAGGATTTGTGTGTTAAACATGTGTGAATGAAACTAAACACAACTTTGGATATGTTTGTGATGAGGAAACAACATTATAACATAGATCAAAAAATAGCATAATATGGGCCCTTTAATAGTTTTTGTGACTTAAAAACACTATCTCTCTAATTAGTAAATTTGTCTGCATTAAAGAATACATAAAAAAAAAACCTTCTTTACTCTTTACTTTACACGACTCAAACCAGGTTCAGCCTTAGCCCCACCCACCACGCTGCCTCTCAGCCAATCATGGGAGTCGGCCACAGGAAGTCGAGACAGCTCTGAGGCGGGAGGTCGGAGGAGAGGAGGGGTCCTGGCAGACAACTGGGACGACCCCGACCACTACTTCACTGAGTGAGTAAATAAAAGGACACACGAGTGAGCTTACTTTATTTCAAAGCTAACAGTCACTTTTATTAAATTTAAACAAAATATTAACATTTAAATTAATTAAAGTAAACACTACCCAGTTATTTTTTTTTTTTTATGTAGATGACTTCAGTTTGTGTCATTTTTAACATATTGTCACTCACATTTCACATGTCCCACAGTTCACTGCCTGATCTTTAAATATTTATCAAATGAAAAAAACAAAAACAAAACAAAAACATAGATACACAATTGGACTGGAAGTAGTGATGCTTACAGTGAGATTGTGCACGGAGCCAACTGGTCCAAGAACGCTACTAGTCTGTCAGTACTAAAAGTCACAGACAAAAAATATTGTACAAATATATACTGTACTGTCAAACTATAATAAAAAGTGCTTTTGCTTTTCAGTCTTGTTCAAAAATATAGTGGAATAGAAAGTACAGATACCTCCTCTCAAATGTAGTGAAGTAAAAGTAAAAAGTATCCACTGTAAAATATACTGAAGTAAAGTATACTTAAGTATAGTACTTTACTACTTTGTTATGTTCCACCACTGTACTTGGTCATGCACATACAACTGTTTACACACGAATAAATACTTTTGACTGGATAATCCATATTACTGGTTTAGCCTTTGGACAATATTAATAATTGTATTTTCTTTTCAGTCATAACTCGAAGAGCAGCAGCTGGTTAGAGCCTCGGATTCAGAGTAAAGACACTCCTCTGAGTACTGAATGTAAGTCTGACCCACCCTGAGACCATTACCTGCATGAAATGGCCTTTTACCTAAATTCTGAAGTTACTGATGTGGTGGTGGTAATATAGCAGTAGTGGTAGGTTAGTTAGTAGAAGCAGTGGTAATAGAAATACATTTGAAGTTAATTTCTTCTGAGAACACTATAACAACTATTTTGTATTGCGCATTCGTGAGAGTGCTGTGTACATCCAGCAGGGGGCAGCACTCTCTATAAGTAAAGTCAGAATATAAACTGTATGATATATCTACAGTCTCTGAGTCAGAAGCTTTTTCATTATCGTCTTTTAGCAATAACTAAGCAGAAACTGAAGTATTTATTCATCCCCTCCCTAATTTACGTTGTCTCGTAGGTCACAAAAGTGGTCTAATGCCAATTACATGTCTAAATCTGTCACTAACCCTTCCCTTATTACTACACTGACTTATTGTTAAATATATGTTAGATGGAACAGCACATTTTGGGGGTCAGTATTTATTATGAGAAATTTTTCTTTGTATTAGCAAGGAACTTTTTGATATTTTTTCTGTGCTGACCAGACTTGAGCTGTGAACGGTTGAATAAATAACTTCACTGGCTTATTATAGATACAAACTAACTACAAAAGTGATTAATTCTGCTGCAGTATTTTAACTATAGTGTGCATTTAAAGTAACTCCATGTAGGGTCTTTGTGTCATAAAGTGGGATAAATTTGTTTAATATTATCTTTTATCATCCATATTTTCTTCAACAATATATCGTACTTCCAAATTTGTTATTGTGACAGGCTTATACATGTTTGTGCCGTTGTGTTTGAATCTGTGTGTGCTGTGCAGTGCCAGAGTTTGTGGATCAGCCCAGTCTTCTGAAGGGATACTCCATCCACACGCGACTGTCCAAAGGTCCCCGAGGCTTCGGCTTCAACATCGTGGGGGGGTCGCGGCCCCGAGAGTTTCTGCAGGTCTACAGTGTGACACCAGGGGGCCCACCTGCTCTCAACACAGGTAATACAACCACCTAGACCTAGTTTAGACCTGGTTTCATTCTCATTTCAACTTAAAGGGCCCATATTTCCTCATCAACCACACATCTGGAATTGTGTTTTGTTTCATTCACACACACATCCTGGAAGTCCATACACCTTTACTAGAATCATTTGGGTAATTTCAGCCCTGGAATTGCCAATCTCTACTAAACTACAGGTAAAAGGAGCTGTTAACTTGAAAACTACCACTACATAACATCACAAGGTGGTAGATAGCACATTGAGCTCTGGAGATGTGACAGAATAATAATAAAGATTACTCAAACAGGTCTGGATGAAACAAACACAACATGTTTATGATGAAGCAACAAAATCCTATCATGGCTTAAAGCTCACGTGTCAATTTTGTGTAATATAAGACCTTTAACATGTTGCACCTCCTCATTGTTGCAACAAGCTTGTTAAATCCTTACAGTAGCAGGTGCTTTGGTGTGCATTAAGCCTCCAAATAGGTCAAAGGTCAAGGGTCAGCAGTTATGTTTCTGAATCACATGGCCCTCTCGGTTCTCACATGACCTCAGCTACACGGACCTTTCAAGTGAGTTTAGTCCAGATCAGAGACTGTAAAACTTTCACATCGACTGACAGTATGAGAAAATATTTTGTTATAATGTTGTTTCTGAATCACAAACAAACCCAGAGTTGTATTTTGTTTCATTTGCACATGTTTAACACACAAATCCTGCATACTTAGGCTGAGTTCTTCTCTCAAACAGAAACACTCTGCTCCACCTTGTGACTTGATGTGATAATACAGGAAGTGCTCCACTGTGTTTTTAAACTCCATACAACATCACTAGAACCATTTGGGTGATTTCAGCCCTTTCTGCCCATCTCTACTAAATTAAAGATTAAAAGTAGCTGGTAACTTGAAAACTACAGGTTCATGACGTCACAAGGTGGAACAGAGCATTTTGACAGACTAATAATACAGGATTACTCAAACATGTATCAATGAAACAAACACAACTCCAGGTATGTTTTTGATGAGGAAACAACATTATAACATGACTTAAAGCTCACAAGAGTCAATTTTGCGTAATATAGGGCCTTTAAATTGGGCAAACCCTAGACTAAAGCTTGCCTAAATATTGAGTAAACTAAGTCTGAACCCGTCTGAGCACAGTGTGAGCCCTGATCCAGCCTCACGTGAAGCAGATCAGCTCTGAGGAATGTGTGGCTTTACAGTCAGTCACAGGCAGTGGTGGAAGAAGTACTCAATTGTGTTACTTAAGTAAAGGTGCAGATACCAGAGCAAATATTACTCAAGTAAAAGTAAAAGTAACACATAACAAAATCTGCTTGAGTAGAAGAATTAAAGTACCCCTATGTACTTAAAGAGGAAAAAATAAAATAATTTTGTGCAGAGTTTGAGATCTAATAAAATTTCAGAAGTAGTGATTTTGATCAAGATTTGTGCAAAATTTTGTTCAGTAGAGACAATTGAATCTAGTGGCTTTTATTTGTATATTTTTATTTGCTCAAGTTACAAATGTGTCAAAAAGCCCTTTTAGCCATTTTAGCCGGTCTGAGCCAATAACAAAAAAAAACAAAACAAAAGAAACAAAAAAAAAACACTTTTACTTTTCAGTCGAGTTCAAAATAGAGTGGAGTAGAAAGTACAGACACTTGCTCTCAAATGTATTGGAATAAAAATAAGTAAAGTGCAGATACCTAACATTTAAAGTAGTACAGTACTTTTACTTCATTTTGTTCCACCACTGGTCACAGGAAGCAGATGTTTTATTCACTACAGTCAAATGAATCACCAGAAACTCGGATAAATCTATTATCCATTGTTCTATTCACACAGGGTCACAATGAATCATGCAAATTACTCCTGGAGCGTTTTAAAGGGCTCATATTTCTGATCTATGTTATAATGTTTCCTCATCAAAAACATACCACCATGCCGTAAAACGGGATGTGCTCCACTGTGTTTTTAAACTCCATGCACCTTTACTAGAATCATTTGGATCATTTCAGACCTGGAATTGGCCTACTCTTCTGAACAAAGGTAAAAAGGAGCTTCATGACATCACAAGGTGAAAGAGAGCATTTTGAGCTTTGGAGATGTAGACAGACTAATAATAAAGGATTAGTCAAACATGTGTGAGTGAAACAAAATACAACTCCAGCTATGGTTTTGAGAAGGTAACAACATTGCTTAACAACATGGCTTAAAGCTCACAGGAGTCAATTTTGTGTAATATAGGCCCTTTAAGATCACAATAATGGTACAGTGATCAACAGGTTAGGTTTGGTTTATAAGATAATAAACCATATGAAACAATATAAATGTTTGTGTCTATATTCCTGTGTTTATTTCTATTGCTGCTGCTGAACATTGAATTTCCTTTGGGATCAATACAGTATCTATCTGTCTCTCTCTCTTTGACAGCTGACATCCTGGTCTACATAAATGACTCATGTGTTTTGGGGCGGTCCCATAAAGAGGTGGTTGAGCTCCTAAAGGGGGTCCCGATGGGCCAAAGTGTGGATGTGGTCTTGAGGAGAGGGTACCCCATGCTGTACAACCCAGACGGCTGCCCCAAACAAAGTCTTAATATGGTAAGATAACAGCTATTGTTCACAGTTTCCATAATAAAAAATATGATAAAATAAGAATGGGAAAGATCACACAAACATGAACATACATACAAAACGACCTATGGCCATTGAATTGATTGTGAATACTGTTTTGCCCTGACAGCCCTCGACCCCCAGTGACCCTTCCAGTTCATCCAATCAGAGGCAAGGACACAGTCACCTGACCTACAGCCGCACCATGGACAATGGCAGCTCACCAGGTTAATATCCACATACAGTATATAAAGTACAGAGTAACTTCAACTGCATGAACTACCAAGTTTAGAGATATGAAAGAAATCACAATTCTTAGATTCAGATTCAGTTCACAGCATTTTGTGAGCACATTTGTTGGTTTTTCATTTTAATAATTATGGAAAATTTTGTATTATTGATATAGTAATACTTATTCTTAGTAGCTCCTACTCTGAATTGAGAAAGGGGTGTCAAGACCAGAGGTGTGACTTTCGAGTTGCGACATGGACTCAAGTCAGACTTAAGTCACTATTTTTAGGACTTGAAACTTGACTTGATAAAATGAACTAAGACTTGGGACAACTTGGATTTGACCCTTGTGACTTGAGAAGACTCGATGCTTTTCCTAAAAAAATACATGTTTTTGGAAAATACTCTTCTCTTTTTAGTTGATAAATGCGGTGCTGAATTTTACAGGAAAAAACTGGACCATGTCCCTTTCATTTCTCTGTTTGTTACTTAGGATGTGAATGAAGTACTGTGATATGGTGTCCTTAAATGTACTACAGTAATATATTGTACGATACAGTAAAACAGAGGAAACATGATCCCTCATGACAAAATAACTGTTATTTAGTGCTGTTAAATCTGAATTCTTTCTATTCTGACCTTAATGATTGACAAGACATTTAAAAAGGAAGAATTTGCATTGCTACAACTCATGTATAAATATACCATGACTTTTCAAGTACAATTTATTTTAAAACTTTGGACTTGACTCGGATTTGAGGTCAAAGACTTGAGACTTACTTGAGACATGCAAAACAACGACTTGGTCCCACCTCTGGTCAGGGGAGTCTAATCTGTAAACAAACCAATTACAACAGTTTTATTTTGTCGTAAGAAGCATAAAACAGACTTCTTGTATCTTCTCTGTTCCAGGCCAAAGTCAGACCACGCCTCCTTTCCTTTCACAGCCAATCACAAACGGCCTTCCTCCCACGCCCACCTCCTCTGACCTGCCTTTAGCCCCACCCCTTCCAGATAGAGTAGCCAATCACAGTGACGGCAGTGACGGAGGTCCTTCCAACGGCGGGACGCGGCGGTGAGACTGGATTTAGACCTGGTTTAGTCCTGGTTAGATTAGATTAGTTTAGGTGTTTAAATACTTTTTTTTTTTTTAGCTTTCTACCATGTTATAATGGTGTTTCCTCATTAAAAACATGACAATTCTTTACAGTTTTGTGCAGTAGTTTCATGGTGCATGCTGATTGTGCTGTGAAAGTGCTCTAAAGGGGGAGTGATTTAACACAGGGAGCAAAGGGAGGAGAGAATCGAAAGTGAAACATGTTAATAAGTTTTTGGTGAATATAGCAAAACAATAAAACATGACATGGTGATCTAAATGTGTTATGTGTTAACATTAGTAGTTAATACCCCAAAGAAGCAAAATGACTCCTTTTTAAAATTTAAAAACTTCCTGTTTATGTCCACAGGTCATCTCTGATTGGTTACAGCAGCGGCACTCTTCCTGCTCTGTCTTCTTCTTCTCTGCTGCAGCATCAGAGCTCTAAGTCCTCTGAGAGCGACCTTTCCACCTCCACATTACCTCTGCGGACCTCAGGCTCATCCCAGGCCTTGGGTAGAACCTCCAGACCTGACTCTGGACCTCAACCCATCCTTCAAACCGCCCACACCCCCCCAAATCAAACACTACCTAATTTAACCCCCGCCCCGTCCTGTGGGTTCAACGGCTGCCCGGCCAACCACCATCACCAGGCTGCAGCGGGGTCTCCTGGTGCAGGTCCCGGCTCTGGTTCTGGGGGGGAGCTGGTGCCTGTGGCGGTGGGAGGCTGTGGTGGAGGTGGTCTGGGCTTCAGTGTGACCGCCGGGGGCACAGTGGGCAGTTAGCCATGGTCCGAAGAGTCTGGGACAGAAGGAACTGCCCCGGTCTGCAGGCAGGAGACACCATCGTGAAGATCAACGGGGCAGATGTGCAGAGCCTTAACTTTGCTCAGGTGAGAGAATCGGACGAGGAAAAATGTGCAATATTATAACTAGAAAACAGTTCCAAGCATAACTAACAAGAATGAGGGTGAATGAATGAAGGGGTGTCTTGTGAGAAAACATCATGATTAGACAACAACAAATTAATTAATTACAAAGAAAATAATGCATTAAAAATATTAACGCATTTTATCACAGTTTGCATGCCAAACAACACGGAATGTTTGTCAGTGCACTGTGTTGTGGTACACCAATTATACTGACGCACACAGTTTGCATAAAAGAGACGTACACTATGTTCAGAAGGTAACAACTTAAAGTAAAATGGCACTTTAACTTTAAACTCTTCAGTTCTGGACTGGGATCTTAGCTTTGTCTACTATTTTGAAATGAAATGCTAATTATTTTTTTAAGATATTTTTCCAGACATTAAGAGTTTAAGTTTAAAAATTCATGTTCTATGTGTACTATTTGATGAAGTCATCCACTAAAATTCATTTACATAAAATAATTGTTGCTTTTGGGGCAAATATTGTTATGCGATTAATTGAGGTTAATTAATTACAAAGCCTGTAATTAATAAGATTACTTTTTTAATCAAGACCCGTGCAAACAGTTTAGTTAGTTTAGTTATGTTAATGTTTTCAAGACAATAAAAATCAGGTTCAGAGCCTTCAGGGACAGACATTTCAAATTAACCTTGGCTATAAATGGTGTAAGTTACATGTTTAAAGGGCTCATATTATGCTATTTTCTAATCTTATCTTCTAACTCCCTATTAAATAAAAATAAATAAATACATAAATAAATGAACATTCCAAATTGAAAAGTTACTCAAGAAGTTATTGAGTTTTCATTTTCAAACATGCTCTCTAATCTTTTATGATCTCAGGTTCAGAGAGTTCTCCAGGACCACACCAAACAGGGGGAGGTGGTGCTGCTGGTCTACAGAGCCCCAGGTGAGTCCCTAAACCCCGCCCCTTTAACCCCACACCTGTGAACCACGCCTAACCTGACTCCTCCCACTCCACAGGCTCCTCCCACCCTGCCCCTACTGTCACCCCCAACATCTACAAGCCCCTTCCCCACTCGGACCACAATTCCCATGATGCAGTGGTGCCTCCTCTGAGTCAGGCGGGAGTGGGGCTGGAGTCTCCGCCCTCCACCGCCAACAGCTCCGGTACAAAATTTATATAATGAAAACAGTAAATTACATAAATATAGATGATAATATTAAATTAATCAGTGGAAATGGCAGTGGTAAAGGTTCAGACAAACATCCCCTAATCATTTCATAGGACCTTTTTCACTGATATTAAAGCTGCATTGTGTAACTTTTCTGGGGTAGGGTCCATCAAAAGCTTTTTTCCGTGGAGATGTAATTGCTTTGTTTGAAATATTTCACAGTATGGCATTAAACTGTTCTATCTTTATGGAGACCAAACCAGGCCAAGCTACAGGTCAGATCTGGGGAGAGGCAACCCCGCTCACAGTCAGAATGTCAGAACTTTTGAGCTATACATGCATCCCGAATTTTTAACTTCCGGTCCCGTTTTTTGTCCTTCCTGTGTATCAATACTGCCCATTTCCTTCACCTTTCACTATTTTTCAATTCCGTTGAGAAGGGAAACAGTTTGAACAGAGGTTTGCAGTCACACAGATCTCATTCCCTTTTGCATTTATGGAGTTAAAAAACTTCCGAAGCCCATTTCTCGAGCAGTTTTCCGCTGTTAGGACATTCAACAACCACACAATTACGATGTCTGAATCAAAACTAAAATATGACAATATCAGAACCAGGAACAAAAGCGATATGATTCAAAAGACTTGAAAGGATCAGCTTTGACAAAAGACGCATCCCATTGGGAAATCAAACATGGCGGTCTGATGCTCCTTTTTTCGGAGGGCCCTTCCCAGTATGCGTTGCGCAGTGACCGGAAGTTCGAAAATCGGGGTGCATGTATAAAACCTCCTGTAATTTAATAAATGTAAAGTAGTGCTGTTTAATATCCAAAGAAACAAGCAGATGACAGACCCCAACCATAAAGTTACTTAGTGCACCTTTAATAAGAGATATGAAAAAAAAAATTATAATTATTTTATTTTTCTCCTCAGGTGCGCCCCCTGCTGTGAGTCCTAATGGACCCGTGGTTCTGATCCAGAGCACCAGCTTCCTCGACTCGGTACCGGTCACACTGACGCTAGAGCCACGAGATCTGCAGGGATTGGACGAGAGCCTGCGAGTGGGCGGGACTAAGGACTCCACAGGGGGCGGGACTAATGAGAGCAAAGTGGGAGGAGCCAACACACTGGAGGTGGAGCTCATGCGGCGACCAGGGGAAGGGTTTGGGTTCGTCATCGCGTCGCAAGAGAACAAGAATGGAGGTGAGTCTGAAAGCGCCACATACGGGAGCTTTTTCTGAAATAAGTTTTTTTTTTTTTTTTTTTTCAATTTGCACAGATTTCATGCTGGAACGATGAACTTAGATACATATGATATATTTTTTTTTTACTTGGACTTGCTATGTTTGTGTATGTATTGAGATAAGTTTAGGTAAATTAGACTCATTTTCTGTATTAATCTAAAAATAGAGACCACATATTTTTGTGGAATGAAGTGAATACAGTTTAAAGAAGGCTAAACACAATAGCAAATGCAGTGAGCACTGAAAGGAACTCTCAAACAAAGGACCACCTCTTGACATCAGCAGATGGTACAAAGCATTTTGATCTCTATTGGCCTGACAATGTATTTCTGTGGACTACTGTGGTCACTGTATGAAAATTTCAAACTTGATTTCTATATAAAAGGGACTATATTACTCTATTTTCTGATCTGTGTTATAATGTTGTTTCCTCATCACAAACATACCTGGAGTTGTGTTTTGTTTCATTCACATGTTTAACACACAAACCCTGCACATTTAGGCTGTTGTTACTGTTGTTACTGAGACTGTTCCACCTTGTGATGTCATGTGGTAATACAGGAAGTGCTCCACTGTGTTTTTAAACTCCATACTCTTTAATTATAATCATTTGGATGATTTCAGCCCTGCTTTTGCCCCTCTCTACTGAATTAAAGGTAACATGTAGCTGTTAACTTGAAAACTACACGACATCACAAGGTGTAACAGAGCATTTTGAGCTTTGGATGTGTAGACCATTGTTTCCCAAAGACTGGGTCGCAATCCTCAGGTGGGTCACAAGAGATTTTTTTTAGAAAGAACAAAAATGTGGCTGTTTGCTGCAGGTGTTCCAATCAGTAGGAGCAACTAGAGGGTGCTCTTGGAAAAAAGGATCAACACTCAAGACACAACGGATTCCAGGCACTCCAAAACAGTAGAAAAAGTTAACACATCGCACGAGGAAAAATATAATTAAAAGGCCTTTATTTGAATGGCCAAAGCCAACATGTTTCGACCTTAACTGTTTTGGAGTGCCTGGAATCCGTTGTGTCTTGAGATTTTTTTTAGGGTCGCCTTGTCACAGTCTGTATGTAGGTCAGCAATATACATACATCTCCACACAGCCCCTGCTCCTCACTTCTTCTCTTTTCACAGAATCTCCACGCACCCCCCTCCTCACTTTTTCTCCGTTCATGGAATCTCCACACACCCCTCACTCCCGCTCCTCACTTTCCTCACAGCACCGCCTTGCCTAACCAATTTTTCTGTGGGAAACACTTATTACTGTTTTTCATTGTTTAAAACTTGAGTAATACCAGTCAACAAAAAAATATCCTCATTAATTTTCAATAATGGTCAAATCCATCTTTATTTTGTGATTTACGACTAATGTTTATTAACTTGGGTCACTAAGATTTGTGACTTTTAAAATATGGGTCCCCAGAAAAAAAGTGTGAAACGCTGATCTAGACAGCATCATAATAAAGAGTTACTCAAACATGTGTGAACGAAACAAAACATAACTCCGGGTTTGTTTTTGAGGAGATAACAGCATTATAACATGACTTAAATCTCACAAGAGTTTTGCGTAATATTGGACCTTTAAACAGCTTCTTCCATCCTCCTCCAGTTTCCTGTAGCGTGCATGTTGTTTTGTGATAACGAGGCTCTGAGGTGGAAGAGCAGCTGTGTGGGCCGGAGCAGAACAAACGCTGCTGTGTCCCACTCTCTCCCTACACTCGAACGCACCGCCCTCAGTATACGGCACAAACACTGCTGTTTCAGAACGCACTTGAATGCACCTCCCACCCCCCCACACATTCCTCTGGTCCGCAGCTGTGTCGACCTGCTCTTACCAATGTGGTGAGGACATCAAACCAAAGGATAGTCCAAGATCAGACCTAGTTTAGTTTGGTCCTGGTTTAGTTCTACTGTTGTTATAGTGCCATTCTAGTCTAGCTCTGGTTTAGTCCTGCTTTAGTCCTTGTTTTTAATTTGGAGATATCCTACTATAAAAGCCCATCTTTAGTCTTGTCTTTATCATACTATTTTACTTTATCACTGGATTAGTTCTAGTCTAGTTCTGGTTAAGTCCTGGTTTAATCCTGGTTCTAGGGTTGTTTTAGTGCAGTCTAGGTTTGGTTCTGGTTTAGTCCTGATTTAGTCCCAATATAGTACTAGTCTAGTCCAGGTTTGGTTCTGGTTTAGTCCTAGTTTAGTTTTAGTGTTGTTCTGGTGTAGTTATAATCTAGTCCAGGTTTGATTCGGGTTTATTTCAGTGAAGTTCTAGTTTAGTCCCGGTTTGGTTGTGGTTTAGTTCTAGTGTTGTTCTAGTCTATCCCAGGTTTAGTCCAGGTTTAGTTCTGGTTTAGTTCTGGTTTAGTCCTGGTTTATTCCCAGTTTTGTCCTAGTTTTAAATTTGTAGGTAGCTCAGATCAACATAAACCCTATATAGTCCTCTCTTTCCTACGTTTATAACAATATTTTAATTTAGCATTGGTTAAATTCTATTAAAGTTCTAGTCTAGTCCCAGTTTAGTCCTGGTTTGTCCTGGTTTAGTTCTGATTTAATCCCAGTCTTGTCCTAGTTTTGAATTTGGGCATATCTCAGATCTATGTACGCCCTTATTTAATCCTGTCCCAGTATTTTTTTTCCTAAAACTTAAAAAACCCTTACCCATTCTTATACTATACTTATACTATTTTTATACTAATAACTTTTTTTTTGTTTATTTTTACATATTACTGAATGAATATTTACACTTCTACACTTTTTTTTTAACATATAATTCTGAAATATTGATTCCTTTGTATTCAGCTGTGGCTCCTCCCCCCTCTCTTATCTAGGCCCCTCCTCTGTGCATTTCTCTGCTTCTCAAACTCAGACCGAAACCACGGTGACACAGACAGGAGCAGGCAGGAGCGGCAGGAGCAGGTGTACCTGGGAGACTGTTAGAGCTTTTTCTGGATTTCAGTAGTGTTTTTATCATTTTGTGGTGCATTGTTTGAGTGGGATGGTGAAGATGTTGGAACGGCTGCAGTCGGTTCTGAAAACTGTCAAAGAATCAAAACGTAAGTCTGGAATTATTTATCAAAATTTTGGAATAAGAGCAAAGACCAAATACCTAAAAAATAAGACGGGGCTGAACCATGACCTAGAAGAAATAAATAAATTTCAAATATTAAAAAAGATAGAATCGTGTACAATGCCAGTGATGGAAGAAGTACTCATTTTTAAGTAAAAATACAGATACTGGAGCAAAAAAAAAAGAAAAATGAAGTAAAAGTAAAAGCATCACATGAAAAAATCTACTAAGAAGTAAAGTAAGTATTAAAATGCACATTTAAAAATGTACTTCAAGAGTAAGTACGTATTTCACGCAGATTTTTTTTGAGGTCTTATAAGGTAAAGGTAGTGATTTTGATACAGATTTGTGATGACTTTTGTTCAGTATAAACAACTGACTTGTCTTTTTTTGTAGCTGTTTTTGTTTCCTCAAACTACAAATGTGTTAAAAATAAACCTCAGCTTTTTCAGCAGGTTTCAAAATATAACAAAAATGACTTTATAGTAAAATACCTGAAAAATGTAGTGGGGTTGAAAGTATTTTCAGATACCTGCTGCCAAATGTAGTGAAGTAAAAGTATCCATTGTAAAATATCCTTGAGTAAAATACAGATACCTAAAATGTATACTTAAGTGCAGTACTTTGATGATGCTTTTACTTTTTAACTCTAAAATCCATTCATTTATTGCCCTGTGTAGTACCTGCCTTTGCACAGCTATTAACCTTCAGAACCAAAACATAAACTAATATTTGTTTAGCTAAAATAAAGATATGACCTGGATTTTTAAAGATTAGCTTTGGGTGGAATCTAAATGAGTTTCATGTAGTTGCAATAGCAGGCTTACAGTCACAGTCACATACACAGACTGATTGTAATAGTGGTCTTTTTAGTATTAGTTCTTTCAATTTGTCATGAGTAGTAGTACAGTGCTCTTTTGCATGTTTTTCAAAGCTTTTCTGCTCTCTGAATGTGAAATGAGTTTAAATAGTAACAGAAAAGGATCAGTCCAACAGTTTGAGTTGTTTGGATACTACAAAATACTTTACTTTTACTGTTCAGAACTACTTTTTCTGTAGTATACTGTTTTTGTTTGTGGTACTACTACTCTATCATTAGACTTGTTGCAGTTCGGGGCAGATTTATTCTCTCTCTTGCTGGGTGGGTGTTTGTTATAAAGTGGTTACTAAAATTTGTACAGATCGTAGGGAGCTGCCTCAGTTATTTTTATTAGGTCAACAATGGTTTAAAGTTCAGATATGAGTTAAAATAGGTTAAAGGGCCCATATTTCACTGTTTTCTGATCGATGTTATAATGTTTCCTCATAACAAACACATTTGGAGTTGTGTTTTGTTTCATTCACACATGTTTAACACACAAACCCTGCATATTTAGGCTGAGCTCTTCTCTCAGGCTGAAAACACTCAGCTTCACTAGAATCATTTGGATGATTTCAGACCTGGAATTTCCAGTCTTTAATGAGCAAAAGTAAGATTCATTCAAGATTTGGAGACGTAGACAGACTAATAATAAATCGAATGAAACATAACACAACTCCAGGTCTGTTTTTGAGGAGGCAACAACATTAAAACATGTCTTAAAGCCCACAAGAGTGAGTTTTGTGTAATATAGGACCTTTAAGAGTAGTGTAGGTTAAGATTAGTCTTGGAGCTATCGTTAAAGTTAGGACCAGTCTCCAGGAAATTCATATATGTCAATTTAATGTCTAATGTTCTTTGTCATTGTGTGTCTAGTTTGGGGTTAGTGCAGTTTGAGCAAATAGAAACTGCAGAGCTCAATGGGTCAAAGGAACATTTGCTCTGAAGTCAAAATTCAATGCTAATTTGTTTTACAGAAGCATGCGTCACTTAGCACGGTTATGTGAAAACAATGTGTGTTGGTATTATCTGGAGC